ATATATTTGTTCTATGATCTATTTTTGTTGGTCAAGGATTGCTAGCTACCTGAGAATGACAGCACTATATATCTGCTAAATGAGAAAGCGACCCTTACTATCTTGTCTGAAATTTCAATACCTTGTTAGAGATGGTTAGAGAACTTACTATCTGCCAAGATTCTTTAGGTTGAAGTGTTTTTTTTTGCCGAAACTCCTTCGAGTATTATTGAATGTCTCTCCCATCATCAAACAGACGGAATTTTTTGCATTTCCAAGTATGCGTCCCACTTCACTGAGAAATACATTCAAATACTCTTACGTCGACATACAGCATGAATTTTTTTCCGCTAAGCGCTATTCTTCACGTGTCATACTTCTGACAAACCAATGCTTTCGTAAAGTCCTTTCCACCCTCAGCCACCTCTGCCCAAGTAAAATGTCATAATTTCACCCCACTGGCTGTGGGAAATGCATTCTGTGACCAAATGAAGAGCCACCATCAGATACGGCAAGGTCGACTGCATTTTTGACTTTCTCGTTCGTTTCTCTTTGCGTTATAACTTTTCCTTGTCGTCGACATTTGCCGCCTCCATAGGAATCTGCCATAAAGGAAGCCATCTGCAGTGTCTCCATTTGCTGAAATACGCTCCGTGCTTTCTCCCTATAGGCTCGACTTTTATTAACCTGTATCAACGACATTCCTCTAAAGACTTTCACTTAGTTCCTATCAGACACCTAATATGTGATCCGCACCGGGCAACGAGAAAACGTGCGGACGTATTTGGTAAAACTTGTATAATAAGTGCTTAAGAGAAACAAATAGCTGTTACGTCAAATTCAATATCAGTTATTCGTTGTAAAAAGGACCAGACGGCAAAGTGAAGCAGAACGCTACAAGGCTGCTTTGTACACTATAGAAATTCAATTTTCAAACCCTCGAAACGAATCTGCTCTATTTTTATTGTATAAAAATATACAATTCCGGACTCGTCGTACAAGCGGAGATACCGTTCCAGTATTTATCTCTGCGTACATCGACGGGTACCTAGGTAGTAGAGAAGCTGTTATTTGAATGCAGTATTTATTAGGGTGCTTTCCCCGATGACACCAGCGAAATTCCCGTCCTTTCATCGACTCCACTAGTACTTAACCACTCGCAGTATACAACCTATTTGTTCTCCAATAGCCTAACAACTCTAGGCGAAACGCTATATTTACAGTGGCAGATTGTACCACGTAGTAAGCCCTAGCTGCGTCTTATATAGGATTACCCTTTACATTTTGTAGGCCAGAAACGAGACCATCACGATGTGCTTAAACGCACCATTGCAAAACTGCCTACTAACCACTACAGTGACAATGGCCTTTTATTTCACTTCACGAATGTGTTTTGTCTACGTATCTAAAGCCAACGTAAAAATTTCATCATATCACCGAAGTAGCTTTTGATCCTTCATCAATTAAACTGATACTTTTTTCGTCTCGTTCTATTATCCACACGTGTACCGAAAATGAGTTTGGCTTAGAATAGAGTAGACTTACACTTGTAGATTAAAGATTACCATTAAATTTACTGATCGTGATAAACATTACACGACATGCTTGGTTAATTCACTGAACGCTAAAAAAAAAAACGAAAAAACGGGATTCGTTGGCAGTATAGGCGGTAGCGGTGGAGAAGATTGGAAACCGCATAGTCTCTTGTTCTAATTTAGTTGGACACATACAGATCCAGGCGGTCTTGAGCTCGCAAATTAATAATAAATAATGTAAACTACTTATTTGTGATTTGTCTCCACAGTGTAAAAAACGCACGAAATGCATTCTGCGGTTCGTCCCTGTACATTATAGGTTTCTGTTATTTACACGGAGATGTAACGACAGAAAAATCTAAAGTTTCTTGTTATCAGCCTCGATAGGCGGAACGATTCCAAGCTTTTCATGCTTTAACTGTAATATTTATAAAGAATGGTTTCAAATCTTAGATTATCTCTTAAGCTTGAATTGTCGGAATTTGTAGAAACAGTTTAGGGTTATTACATATAGGAGCCGTTCACTACTACAGGGGAATAGTAAGTAAACAGAGATGGTATCCTCGATATTTTCCTGGCGTGCATATGGCCGAGTTTCATGTAAGCACTATGCGCGTTTGTAAACACATAGAGCATCAATAAGCCTATTATACTTATATGGGGGGCTGACAAAGGGGACAAAATGGCGCAAATTCGCGATACTTCCGTCATCGCTTTCTGCTCTCGTCCTGCAGATAAGTGGACTTAGCGAAGGCGAAGCGGTGAAAATGAACCGCGGTACCCACTAGAAGAAAAGTGGCAATCATGTATAGATGTTAGCTGATATATTTGTGAACCCTTTTCAAGATTCATTCTGTAAAAGTATCCTCTTTCCGTATGCATTCGATCAAAACGTAGACAGGTACTGCTCTTTCAGCTGGCAGCTTTTATAGACGATTGAGCCTTACTTAGAACCTCGTACAAAAAAAAGGCTTTGCAATGTCAAAATAGAAATTCTAAAATTTTGAGCAGACAGGGCTATTTTTATGGATAACGCATGATACACGGTTAAATATCAGGTGCCCAATATAAAGTGTTATGAGTCGATTTTATGCCACTAATGAAATAACTCATTTTTCTTTATAATAATTATTATTTAGAATAACTGTGGTATTATTCGTTTAATATCCCGCTAAAGTTGAAGGAACAGAGGGAGGAGGCTCTCTATAAAAGTAAAAAAAAATCATATATATATATATATATATATAGACATATGGATATCTAGCACGACCAGCCGCGATCGGATTTCCTAAAGCGTCAATGTTTTGCTCAGTGCAAACAAGTCACTGCCATTAACATTTCACAAAAATAATGGACTTTCACGTGAAGGAATAGACATCCAACTCCAGAGAATTGTCATTACCAAAAAGCGGGCTATCTCACACATCTGATCGAATAAACTCTTTTAACAGCCTCTTCGTACCCCCGTATAACGCATCTTACTGAAAACATATACTTCAGAAATGCCATAGAACCATATACAAAAGCCCAACATCTACGGACACTTTTTGTATAACCGTTGGTTAAAAACCATTAAATGATATATTTTAATCGATATGTTAAAGATCAGTAGGATGAAAAAGTTCGATAAAATGACAGCAATACACGATCAAATAAACCTTTGGTGGTAGGTTAATTATTGTAGGTTTTGTTTGTTTGTTTTTTTTGTTGTCCACAATAATAAGCATATTTCCAAATGGGTGTTATCTAGGAGTTTGTTGATACTGTTCCATTTCTTTGAAGCAACGTTAGATAACGCTTCTCACGTTGACGTTTTGATATCAAACTGAAATTAAAAGAACACAAATCTTGATTATACGTATGGCCTAATTAGGAGAGAGTCAAATGACGATTTATCTTTCGTTCGAAAATTTCGTTTCGAAAATCGTTTACACCCGCTTATGATGACGACAACAATAGAAACAAGTTTGTCAATATCAATAAATGATATCCAAAAAGGACTTGGCACATTTAATAAAATAGGTGCTCTGAGGTAGAGGTCTATTAGCGTATCCGATTCGAACGATAAGTAGTAATTTCGAAATTATTCCAGAGACGCTTATGCTACGGTAGATGTCGTGCACTTTTTAAGTCACTGTTCGGATAGTCGCTCCGACGTTTATAATTCGATTTTATTACGGTTCGATTGGTCACTTTAATACTGTACCTACGTTATCGAATCATCTATAAGCTCAGCCTATCGGAAACGTCTTCCTCGATAGAACAAAACATATTCGTAGTTGATAAATACAGTTTATGTATATACAGAGCGTCTTGGTGCTTCCGCAAGAGATTTTTGTGGGGCATTGTTCATATTGTTCGGAAAACGCCATCCCAAAGCTTTCTTGTCAATGTAACTTTCTTCGATGTCATTCGACCTCGTTCAATATAGATTTCACAATAGCCTTCAAAATAACGGCACAGCTTTTTAAATAGCCTTTTTCGACAGAGATCTGTTATATGGGGGGATATTTCAAAAGAAAGAAATTTTATCCTAGTATTGAAAGTAGACATACCCTAGAAGCGCGTTTCACCGAAGCAGCGCAATAGGTAACGCGAGAATAGTTTCGCATAAGGCGTTCAAGACAGATGTATGATGATGTCGTAACCGTTTGCTTCGGCACGTACCTGCTGGTATTCGTGCAGAAACAATTCTATCGGCAAGCAATTCTATAGTGGTGGATAGATATAGCTGATTTATGTGCTGATAGTGGAGCAGTCGTCAAGAGTAACACCTAACGGTCTAAGTACTGTTAAACTCGAAACGTTTAGGAGACAATTGCCTGATCATAGTTGGTACCTACTACCTAAAGACAATAATAACAAAGTCGAATGCCAAAGCAATATTTATTTTTCGAACGCCTAATAGTGTCTCGCCATTATTTTCGTGTCTCTCATTTTTTAAAAGCATCAGACATGTGCACGTCGTCTTACCTGCTTCCAGTCTACTTTTTCTCGTTGTGTCCTGCTGTTGTTTCCTATTCTTAAGGTCCATTATCCCCCCAACCCGCCACACACTGAATCGCGCTCGTTCTTCTCCCTTAAAGCTGTGCAAGGCTACATACGCCTTCAGTCAGCATGCACATGACCACATTTTTAATCTGTCATATTTGTTGACATACGATTCAATTTGTCATTCAACATGTCACAATCACCACATCAGCCATACATATCAACAATGAAATCAATCATCGTCAGCTATCCGGCTACTGTCATTTTTACAACAGCTTCATCACAAATTCACACTCTCACAGAGAAGGGTCTTGTTCGACTGCTGTACAAGCGGGGGCAAAAGATGCGAGGAACTGCGAAAAGGCAAACTTACAGTTTTAAAGGGTAAATGGATAGAATCGATTGACGATGGATCTACAAACAGTATTCGACTAGTTATGAAAGGAAAACTTTTTACTGTAGAAACAGATCTTCTACGTGAACCCGGAACTCAAACGAACGCCTAAAACATCCTAATAAAAGTGAGATCTAATCAAGTTACTTAGAATGCCTACAAGCGAATTACATTGCCTCACACTACAAATGTGTATGGTGTCTTTTGGTTATCCTTCCTGTTACATTTACCCTCTAGTTGTTGGCATCGATTTTGACTTTCGGATCTTTGAAAGGCGTCGTATTTTTGTCATTCTAAATGAGCTAAAATCATTTGTGCTCCTGGTGCTCATGTTAGCCCCTTTTTTGCCCATTAACTTTATCATCTTGGCTTTGATGTGTGCAAACCATTACATTAATTATAAAGCCTAAAGCCGCATTCTAGAAACTTCCGTTTCTGGCCGCTTTTGTAAGTAGAAGACGTTTCTAAGGGGATGCTTTTTTCTTATTCAGGGCTGAGCTTTTCAATCTATTTTAATTTGTTTTTCGTTTTTGCGATCACATTTTCTATCCGTTCGATTGGATTTATCTAAAAGGCCCCATATAGCCTAAAGCCCATTCTCTTGCTGGGGGTTGCACCTTGTTGTTCGAGTTATTGCGTTGATCTACACGTAGTCAGTTGCCGCTAGTATAATTTGCCTTAACGCAGTGCTCATCATATTGCTAGATAGGATGAGCCATATTCCGATAACCATCGTAGGATTTCGTTTAGCGTATCGCGACGCGTGCGACACGCTGAAAACAGGAAGAAGTATATCGATTTATGTGTAATGAAAACAAACACACTCTTTCGAACAAACTGAATAAACAAACTTCATTACAATTTTAATTTTACACGCAGCGTACTATTTTCAATCAGTCTTCACCAAAGCCCATGACTGTCTGACTATTTGTAATTAATTGTTATCCAGTCATCTGGGTTGATTATCTAAAAAGCTAGATTATTTCTAGCAATGTTCTTTTCTCATGTAGGACACAGAAAGAATAGGTCAGAAACGTAGTCAGCTAGTTTGCCACGCTCGGAAACCTACTAGTTAATCCGAGCGGGGCGGATAAGGCTAATATTTAATAACTCAAGCCTGAGTCAACCTAGGACAAGTATTCACTTCGTTCGCCAGACGCGCCTTTACTCTTCTTTCGCGATATCGGAAACTTGCTTGAATAGTTTGTAACTTACAATCGAAGAGCTTCTACTCTCCCAGCAGACTCTGCTGAGCATTTGCTCTGCATTTGGCCACATTGTCATGTAACTTTATTTCTCTTATTTCTATTATTATATGCCAATAAATTCAGAGTGTACTCGGCCTGTGTTTGTTAAATTTCAGTACTCCGTATTTTACCCTATATCCTGCATTTTCTGTCGACTTTTTCTTGTCGCTTCGTGCTTCCTGTTTCAGCTTCCCTCCACATCAGTTAGTGACCCTTGAATTTGTTGTACGTACAAGCTTACAGGCACACAAACATTCATACAATCCATAACGTTCGTCACAACAAGCGGCTTTCTTTAAAACACACCATTACCGTAATGACGTGAACAAACCTGTTGTTCACGTGGGTCATAACAGTCATTCAATCTATTAGTCGGGCCATTTGTCAATGGCGAGTAACTGCAGAGTTCAGCCTCTAATGTCTAGCATGAGTTTTCAGTCTTGTCAGGTGTCCGTTTTCTGAAATCACCGATCAGGCAGTCAATTCTGCCACCTAACTTATACCGGTACCAATATGTTTGATTATAAGCAGCAGTAGGTATACTAACTCACTCCTGTCATTATGAACCAAATGGTCATCTTCGAGTTTTATCGATATCATAGCCCAGAACAAGCGACCTTCTCCCTCTCTGACGTACGTCACACAAAGAGCTTTCTGTTCGTATTTGCTTTCTAACGGATCGTCAACCATAAGGGATCATGTCTATAAATACCCTTAATTGACTTTCCGTTAAGCATGATGTCGTAAAGAATTGAGGCGGTCAACCTCGTTATTCATGCGCCATGAGCCCCCTTCATTTAATGAATGTTCAAATTTCAATAGTAAACTATTTATTAGATCGTTGTTAATTGATTTCGGCTCTAGCTTATCGTTGATTCGACGTTTGGCCGATAGCGGGACCACAGTGGCTTCGTAGTACTAGATTATATGATTGCTCTGTCGCTAGTCAGATATCAATACAGCAATAAATTATCGCTAATTATCCACCCTTCGTAACTCCTCAGTTCTATCTTCATTGTTTGAAGCTGTCATGCATGACGCCCCCTTCCGTCACTCTGGATTATTGCTATATATTGTATTATCTTGATAACAACACCGTCATCATGATTAAGAATAATTACTAGCGTCAAGGATAATAAGCATATCAACTGGTCACTGAGCACATTGCCGTATACAACGCATTCACGCCGTTCGCACCCATTCATTGAAAACTGTCGCAAGTTGCTAGTAAATCATCAATAGTTGTATTACTATAATTAGTATTTATTACTCTTGTTTATACATAGTTTGTTTATCAGCTAGTTGTCTTCCGTCGGAGAAGACGGACAACAATATGAACGAAGACTTCTGAACAGGTACATATTTATGTCCATTTAATTTATAAGTAAATTAATTTTCTGTTCAGCTTTTAGTTCATTTATCGATTCACATTCTGATCATTTCTGCTAATTCGATGAACTCAGTTGCGTCGGAAGCTCAGATCAATAAATGCATTGAACTATCAGCAGAAGTCGATGCAGAAAAAGAGATTTGGAACAGGATAGATATCTGAGGTATGCTCTTATCGGCATATCTGGCTAGCTATGCTATAATGGAATCGATAAACGAATCATTATCGATAAGGGAACGCAATCTATGATTACTGCTGGATCCGGTTCGTTTTTTTTTTTTTCGTCATAAAGCTGTTCAGTGGCTTTGTCTTGTCGATAGTATTCGGACAAGTGTCAATGTGTCAACGGTATTAGCCCAGATTGTACTGATATCAAGCTCTTCATTAACGAGACTATCTTCACAAAATCACCCATATTGAGGTTCGGCTATTCACTCCTAACACGTATTCATAATCGATGATTAGCAATGACAACAGTGCTGTTGACCACTATAGGCAATGATAGCTTGCGTCTTGATTATTTAGTCCTGTAGGGCTCTATATTGATCGTTTCGCGAGCTTCAACACTTATAGCTAGTTCTTCGCAGAATGGCGACGCAACGCATAGCTTCGTAGTATAGCTCATGAAGAGGCTAACGTATCTAGAGTGCAATTGATCAATGGCTTACGAGCATGGTCTTTGTTGAGCCTAGATAACAGCCGAGTTCGTTTTGTGGAGTCAACAAGGATGAAATCAGACCAATGCAGACGTTTCTACTTGAGAAAGGCAAGAGTTGTTGGAGACTGTGTTTAACGATACGTTCGACCTTTGCCTGCATCTAGAGTCTTTAAGGTACCAAAGGTTAGAGGCCAGCTTGTCTCCTTAGCCGATTTAGAATCAAGCCATTTATGCATTTATCTTTTATTACTGAGTTCTTTTATAAACTTTTATGAAGAACGTGCTTTTCTTTTGAATCCATTTCCCCTTTTTTGACTGATTCATGCTTTTCATTTTGTTTGAACGTTGCGTGAGCTTGAATCACCTCGAATACGTATTGTTGAACGGGTTCATCGATGTACGTAGCGACCTCTAGCGTTTTGTGCGGGCGAAACCCAATTCAGAGGGTAGGGCGATGCACTCTCTTGGTTGGTTTAAATAAGAAAAAAAATGTATAATCATGTATAAGTCCTCAATTACGATTCGTATCAAACGATAATCTTCATTCTGCAATCAGCACATGTGGACATATACTGATTATCGTAGATAACGGCGACAGCTAGTCTCTAACAAAATCCCCTGAAGTCAACAAATTCCCTTTAGGCTTCCTTGTGACTGGACCATGTCACTGTAGTCTGGGAGGCAAACAATGATGATAGCAACGGCTCTTAGAAGCGATTAAAAATATATCGCTAGTAGATACATTCATTATGAAGAACGCAACATTTAGGACAAAGTTAGTTTTCTGGTGAAGATGCGCCGTAACGCTTGCTTCTTGTCATTGAAGCACGTAGGTGATGATGGATATGTTACTAATAATAACTGTCCTATATTTCCTTGTCTTTTCCCGTGCTTGCAACTTCTCTCTAATCAACAGTAGGTAACCTGAAGAAACTGTTTTAATCAAAAATAACAAATACGCACTGTAGGTAACAATGTGACTGTCTACATTTGAAACGTGTCTGGACGGTTAGTGACCGCTTGACGGACGTGAATGGCACGAATAATCTGATGTGTTCTTGTTTTTTTTTCTTTTTTTTCCTTTTTTTCTTTTTATAGATATTGTATAATAATAATCAAGTCTCGATATTGCATTAAATGAAAAGGGTAGTTAATAGTGCACCAACGCTATGGTTCACATGTGACTTAACGACGCAGACGCTTAGTCTGTTGCTGTGGTTATTATTTTTGTTGTATGAGCTTCAAATGTTGTATGATACTTCAAATGTACTTTTTGTAACACTTCGGCAGCTGGTTGTAGATACGGCCAGATGTTTTCGCTCTGACGAAGAGTCTGTTAGTAGAGAACGCTGATATGTTTGTTTCTTAGATGAGAACAAACAGTGCTCACTCAATAGGGTATTCTATTTGGACCCTACAGCAAATATGTCCATCTTAATACTTATCACGGAAGACGTTCATTCAGTTGGCAATATATATGTGTATATATAATAATAATGTATATATATATATATATATATATGTAATCTTGTTGATAATTTCTACATACATGGCAAGTTCCTTGATTCACGGCAAAGGTAGATTCAGCATGAACTTTTGAACAGTTTGAAGTCTAACTTATGGGCAAGTTGTTTGTTGAATGCATGGCAAATGTCACGGTCCTTAGTCGCAGTTGTTTTCTTTCCGGCGGATTCGAATCTATTACGGCATTGCTATCCGAAACGATTGACGTTGTTTTTATGCAGCAGATATAAATGGTTGACATATTAGTTATGCATGGAAATGTCACTTTCATGTTTCTCGCATCGATAACGATTCCTAGTTCTATGTACAAGTTAAGTTGTTGGTGTGCTTAAATGCTTGGATAATTGCACCTGCGATTTTAGGACGTTCGTTGACAGCATGAAGATGCGGTGCCCACTGGGTCTTAGCCACAATGCGTTTAGCAGAAGGCGATAGGGTAATGCCCATCGTGACACTGTTGTTGGCTTCTTTTTCTTCCCTATTCATATGATTAGTAGATATTATAAGTAACGTTATTCTCGTTACCGTATGTATCTGGGTCCGACTACCATCAACAAACAGCATTTCCTATGCTATGTTATTCGCTCAGTTTCGCCTGCTTCGAATTCAATATAAACTTAACAATGTAAGAGGGTCAGTGTTTACGTATACAGGATTGCTCGACACAGCTTAACCGTACCTCGAGGCCTACGACGAAAAATAACATCGAGCGCTATCAGCAACGTACGAACCGTTCAACGACACTTTGATCAGGAGTACTATTACGGGATTAAAACAAATTGCGCGATTGGCTCAGATTAGTGAGAAAAAACGACGCATGATTTCTCGATACAAAATCCATCTCTCTCTAGTCCCTCTATTATCAATCTTCACTAATATATATATATATAACAGTATAATAGGTGTTTGTCGTTTCAGCTCATTACAACATTATATTTGTTATTGTGTTGCCAAAGCAAATTGATTGACTAAATTGAAGTTACTTGTAGTGATCGTCACGTATCACGAGATCGACTGGTTATTGTATCATTTTTATACGTTTTCTGTGTCCTAGCTGCCATGTAATATATTTTTTGTTAAGATCACTCCCGAAAGAATGCCATTCGCGTCCGGTTATGCGTCACTGCCACGTGCCTCAGGTTCGACCGCGATGCGTACTCCACGGTTCAGGCCGAAAGATACTATCATTACTAGATGTCGATTAGGGTGCTTCAAGCGAACGCAGACAAAATGAAGCAGACGTCAGTGGGTATAGGCAAACGGATGATACATGGATATAGATCTGAACGAGGAAGCTTAGATGAACGAGTGGGTTCTAACGATACAAGTAGAGTATGTATTTCTTGTGAAATATCTAGCGCTGTCGAGTTTTTGGCATGATATTATCATTATTACTATTACACTGACGTCATAATGTTATCAGGTATGGGACCAAAAATGGCCACTAACACGCTACTCGATCGAGCTGTGCATCGCCTTGTTACTTCTGAAACTAGGACACACTTCGCCGGCTCACTCCTGTTCTCAAATGCCCTTTTTCTTCCGCACAGGTTTCATGGGGTCATATAAATCCAAAAATAACACATATTGCGAATTATTCATTGCTGACCATTACGAACGAAATGTATAACGAGATCAAGTCTCACCAAAGGAAGCTTACATACTCGAACAAACCAAATTGACCTATCTCCAGTCGGTTTTCTGGACGTCGACCTGAAATCAGGTCGAATCCAAAAAATATACAACACATTAATGTTACAACCAGTTAAAACGGTCCCGCCGCTCAGGCTCTCGTGGCGCTGAACAGCCACTTTCGTTTATTCTACACTCTTACCGCATCTTTTGCGTGGTTTCCTTCCGACAAGAGCATCCAATACTACGAATCCGCGTTTAAGAATGCAGATTATTCTATAGTACATGCTCATGTACAATCTGAAGCGATCCAAAATAGTTCTGTTGAAAACATAACGGCATGGTAAAAATGTTATGTCTTTCTATATCGATTTGCCAAAGTAGCGAAATGCTTTGAGTTGTTCGACCATAGTTTCTTTTGCCCTGGCTCTCTACCTACGCAGAAATGGCTAGTAATATTAATCTACCAGAGAAATTGGTTGCTGCTCTGAAGGGGAATATGGCGTATCTCTTCAGTAGTAACATTTTCGCTTGTCTTTATGTGTAGGCGTCCGTATGTGTGTGTCTTTATTGAGTATAATTTCATTCTTCGTTTGAAATCACAATGTGAACAGACAAGGTTTTCTGTGAGCAGGGCAAAAATCTAGGCCGGCGCCACGCAAACTACCTAAAACATAATACTTATATTTCGAATTAGAACTGCGGCAAATCAATAGAGATCTCTGTATTTTTTGCTTTTCCATTTGATATATATCAGCCGGCTAATCATCCAAGCACTGTGGTCGAATTAGCGGCATTGTCACAGCGGTTAGAAGTCTAGAGCTTTGCTTGTCCTACATCATTTTCGCCTTACATATATTCACAGAGCTTTCCGCTTCAATGGACCTGGTCCTAGCATAAGTCATTTTGATGATAACGTGAGTGTCGTCCGTCTAATGCTTGGTACTGCTTATACCTCATTGCTTTAATCACCACCTTTTTCCATACATAGTCGTCGTCTTCTCTTCTAGTACATTAATCTTCCACGCCGCTCCGATCAAAGGATGTACCCCATCATCCATTCGCTCGGCGATGCAGCAGTTCTATGGGGCGATGCTTGTGTATGTTATGCTCTCGCGAATTGTGTCTGGTACTGTTTATTGATGTTTATGTTCGAGTGTTTGAGCATCAGCATGGGCGAGTGTAGATACATGTGCGTATGTGTGTATGTGTAACCATGTAATGTCTATGTAGAGGTTATTTTCGTACTTCGTTCATTTCGTCGGAAAAATGCTCGCTTAGAGACGGTCAGCTAGCGACATGTTGACAAAAACAACTCCTGCCATTGCCACAGCCGTTTAGACAATGCGCCGCAGTTTCAACAGCATTGGGAGCTCGTTTCACTATTGGCAGAAACGTATGATAACGCGAAAAATGTGCGCGCAATGAGATCGGTGACGGCGCTGTGTGGTTCTAGTACAGGCGATCCTTCGTACAATATGACTATAGACATTTTGATCTTCACGTATTTGCTTTTATTGTCTGATAGCTCATAGAATAGGCAACGAGCAACAATTGAATGAGTTCGTATGGTTACGATGGCTGCCGGTCAGATTTGTCGAGGACGGCTAGCAGAGTATGAATGGAGGTCCCGAATGTTTGTTGTAATGCAAACACAAACACGACACAGGATAATTATTTTACCCTTGATCTGCATTTTGTTAAAAAAAAGAAAACGTTATTCAGATCTTTATGCTGTTAGTTTCAAAAGCCTAGCCAAAACCGTGTGTCAAATGGGTCCCTTGTTAAGATTTTCCGGCAACTATTAAAGGGGCACCGCCCTAAACATTGACCTGCCTTCTTCGATCTTATTAACGCTGCTGTTAATTATTCGCATTGTGGAAAACACCACTATTCAGTGGACCTAATTAGTGCGTTATGGCTGTGTATTTTATTTGAAAAAAAAAATTAATTTCTGTTTTCAGACAGTAATATATTGTCTTTACATAACATGTTGTCACGTTACGCATTGCCACGTCCTTAAATGGCCTGCGATGGGTTCGATTTACTGTAGCTGTTTTGACGCTTGCCTTTTGATGGAAAGCGACGCGTATCAGTTGTTGGTGCTTATGGCAGTTTATAATAAATGTCGACAATATGTCATCGGTACGATCGTCATGAATTATGAGCCACACTTGCTCAAAGTTAGCGCCTGTAGCTTTTCGCTTGTATAATGTTTACAAGCGTAGCATATGCTTTGTTCTGTTTTCTGTCGTTGTTACTGTTGTTACCGTTTTACAAGTGAAAAGGTTAATAATGATATTGTATTAGGTTATTGCCACCTAAATAAGGTCATGCTTGGCCCTGTCCAGCTGGCCTGCTGTGATGAGATTCGGCCAGGGAGTGTCTTGGTGGTCAGGACTTCTGGCTGGGGATACGCGGGGGATCTTATTTGTCACCTGTGCAGGGCAACTGCAACTGCTAGAGCGGTGATCGACGTCCAAACCCGCGATGGATGCCGCGGTAGCGGTTGAATCGCGTTTCGAGCAGCCGAGTACTCGACGGAACGCCTCTCGAAATTCGGTGTTAAGAAAAGCATAGATAACTGGGTTGAACGCCGAATTCACATAGCCTAACCATGTTATGCTTGTGCGCACCTCATAGGGCGGTTGGCAGGTCTCGCAGAAGGCCGCTACCAGGTACATTATAAAAAAGGGGAGCCAGCACGCGCTGAAGACGCCCATCACTATGCCGAGAGTGCGGATCGCCTTCGTGTCAATGAGCAGCTGCTTTGACCGGCGCCGAAGGCTCCTTCGCCGAGTGGTATCACCACCTTGACCACTCTGGATGAGAGAGCGCTCGAGCACCCGGATCTCCCTAGCTTGCCGTTCAGCTACCGCCAATATTCGCGCGTACACGTAGAACATGACGGGTAACGGTAGGTAGAACGAAATCAGCGACGATATCAACGCATAGGTTGGATTGACAGCCAGCTCGCAAGTATAGTCGTCCCATTGGTCTTCGGGGCCGAACCAGCCGCAGAAAATTGGAATGAACGAAATCGCCGCCGACAGAATCCAGATAAAGATGATGACAACGAATAGACGTTTCTTTGACACACACGCGCGGTAGCGTAACGGTCGAGTCACCGCCCAGAATCGATCGAGCGATACAAAACACAGATGTTGTATTGATGCAGTACAACACATGACGTCACACGATATCCACATGTAGCAGGCGACGCGACCGAAACGCCACTCGCGCACAACATCGACGATGATCGTGAATGGCATGACGAATAGCGCCACGGTAATATCGGCTGTCGCGAGTGACGCGAGCAGGATGTTCGTCGCGGAGCGTAAACGACGGAATTTCGATACGACGACAAGCACAAGAATGTTTCCGACCAGCGTCGTGAGCATGATGCACGCTCCCACCACCGCTCCAAACCATCTTAAAGCGGTCATTTCTTCGGGCGAATCTGACGGCTCCCCTTCGGTCGACACAGCGAGCTCGCCGACGGCCGCATTGGTAGCGGCCGCCGATGAGAGGCCCGACAACTCCAGCGTTATGAAACGGAATTAAGTTTTCAACCCGGACTGTTACATCTCCGCCCCTCTGCAGCTTGCTTCAAGCGTCTGTCACTGCTGCAGCTGTTGCCGCGCGGCGCTTGCCCAGACGGGATGGTCGAAACCGGTCGGGGGTTCAGAAGCCCCAATGTGCGTATTGCAGATCTGCCCCCTGCGAACCGAGGATCATGATATCGACGATGAAGATAACAACGACAACGACGTTGATACAAGTTTCGTGAGAAACAAGGATCGCGCGGAGTTGTCCGCTTGTTGTTTTCAGTACCTCCACACTGCTAATGTTCTTACAAACCTGCTAGATTTGTAAATTACAAGGTTGATTGTTGTTATGATGAGGATAATGATGGTGATAATGATTTTATTGCTGTAGTAGATATTATCGCTTCTTTTAACAGCAGTCGTTGGAGTAGCAAACGCCGAATGCAAACCGGCTCAATATTCACGTTATTCACGTGGCAGTCCGCGTGCAACCAGACGTTTATCATACGACTTGAACCGACGTGTGGGAATACGTAAACGGAGAGCCCAAGTGATTCTTCTTTTTGAAGACGAGGCACTTCACAAATACACGCTCGGTAAATAAGGCTGGCGTCGGTGGCGATGAGGTGACGAGTCGCTGCCGCTACATATAAACAGTAACACCGGAACAACGTAAACGTAAATCCACCGGGGTGCACCATGAGATTGACCCAAGCACTACCACTACAACGATGGTAACACCACAAAAAGCCGCTCGTGTAGCCCAGGCAATATCATTGTGTGATGACTACAGTAGGTATTATTGTTATTATTATATATATATATACATATATATATATATATATATATATATATATACATATATATATATATATGTATATATATATATGTTGATATTGCTTCGTTGTGGTTGCTACTACTTTGGGGCACGCACAACAATCGCTCAGACTTCACCGGGAGGCACCTCAACGTATCATGAAAACGGGGTGAGCGACTTCAATCACTCACCTGCCTTTCACAGGTATTTGCCTGTTCTCGACGGAGAGGCTTCATCGTCTTCAACACACAACACTTCTCCTCAAAGTTAGTAATCAGGACTTTACACACCTATGAACTCTACCAGTTTGTTGTTTGCGGTTTACCTGTTGGCTTCAATTTAGTTGATCATGAATGACTTTAACGAGAGCAAAATGAAGAAGAACTACTATTACTAAAATTACTACATCTATATCTTGGTTACAATAGTAACTTTTGAGGGCCTACGATGTTTTTTAACTATGTTTACTTAATTCGAATATATCGCGCGGTCGATTGCATCATTGACTTTCGCCTATATATCTATATATCTTTATGATATAGACGAGCTATGCATTTGCCAGCAAGTCCCTCAACCAAACTATTATGCTGCATTTGTGCCAGTCGAGGTGCGCGGCTGGTTGATTGCCTAATTGGTCGCCCTGTGATTTCAAGGGCCCGTTGTTAGCGCGAACGTCCTCACTCAATCAGCTACGGGTCATGTATGCGTTCTCCGTCAAAAGCCGTTAAAGGGAGGGACTGGGGAGGGCACTTGGGAGAGGGTTCCTACGATGGGAGGCGACGACCCGCATGAAACCACCGCCACACGGAGTATGGCAGAATGGCAATGGTACCATTACCACGAGAACAGCCGCCTACTAGAACCATCGTGTTGGCACGCCACACCACGGCCACAGCCGAGGCCACCAAGGCCGCTGGCCGGATCTACTGTTGGACGCAAGCACCCTTGGGCCTGACCGCTTCGGGGTCCTCAGAGGGCCCTAAGAGCGGCCCTCCCTACAAAGAGCCTACACCACTACGGCACAGCGCAACAAGATATACCCAGTTGCCCTCTTCGTTGTCTTAGTCTTAAAGGTTATTACAAACATCCGAGACATTTGGCGGCATTTTGCAGGTCGACGAGTAGAAAACAAGACCGAAGTACGGATAAAATCCACGAGGAAAGCAAGAAGTATATAACACGATTGAAGGGTGGATAATTGCTGCTCTATCATACGAAGACCGACGATACTAACTACTAGCGCAGTACGCGACTTTGGGTGTGGTTTAAGCCACAAAATCTATACTTTTCGACCCTTTCGGCATAACCTAAATTTGATTTGTAAGGGTATACGCTTCCAAGCGTAATGTTAACACTTAGCGTTCCAAAAGGAACACGGATACCAGTATATATAGGGAAGGCTATACATGAGTACATATTTTCTGTTCTTGCTGCTAACCGACTTATAGGTCGTAGCTTGTTGCTATGGTTTGCCACCATCACGGCGTTAAATCACTGAATATATGGCAGCTGTAGCTGTACATATCCACAAACAATTACGTGATACTGTCTGCCCCTGCTGTTCCTTTGCATACTACGCTATGGATAGTTCATGGCGCACTCATAACTAATTAATTCAAACAAAGAAGGCGGAGGAAGAACTCACCAAGCTAGATCCGCTATGACGTTGTCACGTATATACAAATCGATCTGCTTCCACATTCCCTTTCAAGCTGCTTACTCACTTGTTGCTCAAATTATAAGCGATGCAAACAAGGAAGAGTTATTTCGAAACAATTAGTGGCTCTTTGTTGGAACTCCCTCCTTAGGAACAACATGATATATACCTGGAAACGCCACGTTCGCCTAAGCTTAGAGGCAATACTACTGATCTGACCATTTCGCTGAGCACCAAAGCCGTTTTCTTTTGGGGGGTGGGGTGAGGGGCAGAGTTTTGACAGAGGGATAAGTGTACCACTGCTATACTATGCTCGCAACAGTCTGCACTGTTGTTAATAGTGGCGGACCGAATAGCAAACCACCGAAGAAGGACCTCTCTCGCCGCGTGATATCCCGCGTGAGCCTGAAAACTGATGTCTGTTGCTGCCCGAGCGTCCCGTCTAGAGCAGCACAAAGAAATTTTTTTTGGTCAGGAATATCCTGCTAAAACGGAACGGACGAGGTTAAATATATGCGGATTATGATTGTATACTTTTATGGAAACACTCGCTGGACCTTCAGTATTTAAACTTCGCTTCGTAAATCAGGGTCGCGGTTATTTTACTTTGATTATTCCCACAGGGTTTGACAGCGTTAGACTATAAAAGGATATGTATGATACTATAAAGCCAATACTGACTTGTCATATGTTTAAATTGCATGTCTTTTCTATTTGACTCAACTATTATTTTTAAAATGAACCGTTTTTATATAGTTGGTTATGACTTCGATTTGTATATGGCCTGAGGGAAAAAGAGGAGCCATATACAAATCAAAGAGGCCGCTGTACATAGCTACGCTTCAATCAGTTGCTCCTGTTTCCACTGGAGTGAAGTAAATTCTATAATGGTTCGATCTAGATAAGATTTTTTCCCCGACCAGCTTTGTTCCTCAAGTATTGCAAAGTTCAGTTAGCTTATTTATGGATACTACTTCTTTCCTCTATAATCTACTTCGTTTTGACACAACGCGCAAATCACTAATCATCTAGGCAGTTTACAGTGGCGAACATGTCTGATCAAAACGAAACGTTTGGCAAAAGAGTAAACTTCCCGTCAAATCGACAGCTCCGAGCCGTTATTTGACATAGAAACAAACGACTAGTCGTTAAAGTAACAAGGCAGGTAGAATACGAGTAGCGATATCCTTAAATGTTGTCGGAACCTCTCGAAATCTCTGTAGCATAGATTCATCCTATATAGAAACTAAGGAGCTGTTGATCTTTTTCGGTACGGCAAACGAAGGCGTGATCGTTAAGGTCAGTTCTGCCATGATCCTAAGGATTAGCCTGTTTCCCTGTCGGTTTGTTAAAAGATGGCCAAAGAATTATTTTATTCGTAAATACCACAATTGCCAAGAGAAGGAGGAAAATGCGTCATGCATAATTGTTTAACCCCAAGTAAAGCGTGAGCAAGTGCCCGCTGAATAGAAAAAAGTACTGTCAAAATAAATAAACGTATACGTACGTTATGAAAGTATCAATAATCATCAGCTTTTTGCTATAATTGCACTTTGTTTTACTTATGTATGATCTATGTACTGAAGGATATTTTCATTATATGAAGGGTATTAATAGATCTATTTGGGTAAACTCGCAAAAAGTTATGACACATTTTTATCTATATTCCCGACAAAGTCAAGTACTGGGAGAGCTTTAGGGCACTTAAAAAAACGGGCAGCAATTTCACTGTGCCGCGAGCCATCGCATAAAAAAAGTGCAAGCGCTACGTGCATCGTTTATGAAATTCATATAACCAACCTTGCATTTCCTTAAGGGCTATTATGGTTAGGCAACATATCTTCATAGTGATTTTTCAGCGAAAATGTATTAAGGCAAATGACAAGAGTTAAAGACCAATTTCATGATCGTCAATCTCTCGTAGCTATCAGACCATAAAATCTCTTATCATGAGCTTTTACAGAAAGCAGATACACAACTAGCGGCCCTGTATCATAAAATTGGGATTGATCGCACATTCTTTCATTCCTCCACAGCGTTAAGCGAATCCTCATGGGCTTATATATATATATATATATAGATTTCTTTGAACATTGACAGGTACTTCCCCTTCTGGATATGTAGCTATCTAGAGGACAGATTTTCACTGGTAATGTAAGTGTGCCGTTACCCGTTGCTTTGAATTAAAGTAAGCTTTTAACTTCATTTTGAATATAGAAGATGTGATTTCCTCTTTTATATGTGTAAATAAGCTCAAATTATAAGGCTCTCTAATTCTAAGAATCTTACCTAACTTAACTTTCCAAATGGCCGTAAATAAATGTATTTCGTTGATGCGAGTAAATTTAATCTCTGTTTCTAAATGTTCCATAATCAAAAAATTAACATAAGTATGTTTTTCATGGACACGCTGTTCTCGTGGTTAAGCCGATAAGAGAAGGTGCTGTTGACCGCTCCCACGAACAAGTGCTGGGGTTTGACAGGCTCAGGCTGGAGCTGAGAGATATTGTGTACTTCGGGCGAAGCATCGCAATAAAACAAAACTGTACATCTGGAATCTTGATTGATGGCAAAGATTAACTGTTAACAAGGTTCCCTTGAAATACAACAGATGGGCGTCGTGGAGGCAAACGAAGGAAAATGGAGTTTTCACTTGAAAACTGCCATAAATAAAATTATAAATGACAGTTACCTTGTAGCGTAAGCTGGTGGAGGCTGTGGGTTGCTTTAAATGATAGATAATAATTACCTTCAAGATATCGGTGCGTGTGAATTCAATTGAATAACAGAAGCGATCTTGCGTACTGCGAAGTGAGCGTACGCTTTCGCAGCATTTCACCAACCTATAGGCCATCACAAGCGAATCCAACAGAATTAAGTAACTTTTGACTGAATATAAACTTTTCAAACTGATGATATTTCTAATATGTCTTAGAAATATCCGTCTTCGTTTTCTTACACACCTGTACCAGCGCTCTGACAGCTTCTGGACAACTCAATACTTACCATTCATAATCCCAAATGTAATTCATTCAATTATGGCATGTCGGAGCAAATCGATAGAAGGGTACGCTTTCCTACCAGTTGTCTTTTTAGGGCATGCAGGTACCGTATCCACATAGATTTAAATTAGGACAATTGGCGAGTTGAAGCCTGAAGTTGGATATTTCCTTACTTAACCAAGGAAGCAATTAAGGCATGGCGATGAGGTCTATATAGTGACCAGACACCGCGCTCTCGATCGCCGTGTTAACCTTTTATGAGCGTCTTGAGTAACTTGAGGTTACACGCTGCATTCATTATTTTACATTGGCAAGTCTTTCGTGATAACAGATGCCCCTGACCCCGATCGCAGGTACTATCATTATCCCTTCGACCAGCGGTAGAGACTGAACCATACTTTGACTACGGCGACCGTATGTTCCAGGCGAATTCTTCGTGTATTAGAGCGCCGCAAATGGCACGTGAAGTATCTCTCATGCATTTCTAATTTGCCCGGGGTCAACTCACGGGGAAATTATTTTTCGTATGTTTTCACTTGTTGCTCCAGTTTTGACCAACAGGGCCCAAAGACTCCAGAATCTCCTTTTGTAAAAAATTTCCTCAATTGACGTAATGCTATATATCTGATCACCTTTTTATGGGTCTTCATCAACACAATCTCCGTTCTCAAAACCATTCATTTGCTGTGCAGAGTATTTACGTTCGTCTGCTAACGGCGCGTGATTGAGCCTTATTCGGTTTTAGAATCGGCCGAATTGGCTTGTATCTGACTAATAGTTTTAGCAAGATGAATTCAAAATTTGAAGAGTCAATTTATAGCGCGGCACTGGCCACGATTTTGTCTAACTAATATCTGCTCAAACAGCTTTTGCTGTCCTAATGGCATTCACGAGAACATGGGATTGTTTAGTAAAAGGAAGGAGAGCTATTTCTTTCTGAAGGAGCCTTACGTGCTCTGAATCAATGATAACATCCAATTACAAAAGGAGACGACCGTCTCTATTATCGCAAAAAGGCTCGTCCCGATTGCCTATCGTTGTTTCCGGCTTCGGAAATAAGATTGAAACAGGAAATCCCTTGGTTGTAGGACGCCGGCATAGGTCTTTGAACCTTCGAACTTTCGCTAGCCTCGCTTACAAACTGCTAATAGGTACATCTGAAATTGCGACGAGTTGACAGTAACTATGTCATCCTGGCGTTGCCCATAATCCACGATGTGTAGAATCCAAGATAAGGCTAATATGCGTTGACATTAACTCGCTTAGAGTGTCGCTAACTTTGGGGACAAATTTACATCCCCTATTAAAGTATTATTTCGCTATTCGAATAAAGATTTTTTGCTTAATGGAAGACGCCTTTTTGGGGCAGCTGAAAGGATTCCTATGGTCTGTCCAAATCAAAGCTATGTAAAGTCTTGCAAAGTCAATTGAATAAAACTACTTCGAGCAGCTAGTTATTTTTTCATTGTTTTTTTTGCTGAAGCAACCGGCCGTCCGTCCGTCCGTCCGTATACTTTACTTGGCTATTCTCGCAAAGCTTATAATATAACAGTTCTTTCAAATTTAAGCTTTTTACCGCATCGTGAAGAATCGAAGGCTCGAAGTAGAACCGTTTTCTGCTAATGAATGACGTTAAGTACCCTTTCTCCATATCGATTCTATCCTGCGAATATAACCGTGCGGTTGGTCGTGGTTCTTTCACTAGGTTCCATCCTCCCGGCTTTAAAATATCCCCTAATTCAAAACAATATTCAGCACAATCAACTTCTTATTGTGCAGAGAAATCTCAAGGTGCCCGAATCAAATTTTGGCACAATATAGGACCCTACAATTCGTCGCCATCGGATCGTACGGACCATAATTTGTGGAGATCTCAATATAGAGATCTCTAGCGGCTCTAAAACTCTCTATTCAGTTTTAGCAAAGGACGTAATATTTATATAATAAAGGCGTATGTGTAGGTGGGTATGTAGCTATTCGGTTCAGCGATCTGATTGTGACTATGAACTCGGACAAATATCAGAACAATAAACGCGGAACAGTCCGAAAAAAAAGTAACCTTGACGGTATATCAATAACGTATATGCCTACAAAATCCGGAGACACATGAAGTAGTCTAGGCCCCCTTAAAAGTCGGAGGTAATCAGTCATTTGAAGCGACATTTGACTAAAACAATAGCGGAAAAATATTCAAAACATAGCCTTCCAAGCTCTAATCGAGACGAGTGAATAAAACACGCAGCTAACAAAGTGAAAGGTGGTACAATGGTTCTAAATTGACTTCGTTTTAACCTATGCTAATTGCAGGTAAGTCATTGCCTTAAGCCCGATAACTATTTCAATCTCGAATTTCGTCTATCTGCTAGAATATTGCAATGGGCCTATATAGCGTTCCGAACTATAGAATTTGGGCTACTAACAAAAAAAGGAGTACTAGTATATCACACATTTGAATATAATCAGTGCTCTACGGATCATCGCAAGCCTTTACAGGGTGCGTTGCGGACTCTCGGACTGAAGTACTACCCAATGTTTTCTTATAGTTAAAATAAAAATTTTAGCGCCACTTAATGAAGCACGCCCGCGCATGACATATTCTACAAACATTAAACGTACATTGAAGGGATGGGTGGAACATGTATATAATCATGGGCAGTAATTCGATCGTGACCACTAACTGTTATTGATATCAGTTATTTCATACGATCAATAATGTGGGCGTGACGATTTGGGCGCCTGAATCTTTCGCTAAAAATAGGCTAGAAGCCAGCGTTTCAAACCCCATCAATGATATATATATATATTACTTTACGATAAGTGTGATTAAACGAAAGCGAACAATATTATAGTGTTGCAGAGACTCTTAGTAAACTGTCGGATATAATCTCCAGTTTAGCAAAACCGCAATTTTTCTAACCAGAATCATCGAAGGCGTTAGTTTCGTTGAATGAATCTGATCAATATTGAACCCACATTGCTGTCGAGTTCATTACAAGCAATGCATCAACGCCAGCACGTGCAGTAAAGACAACAGTATTAAAAATACAACTGGTAAAAACAAGGAAATCTCTCGTATCCTCGAACAGCTCCGCGTTTTAGCTGTGCGACGCTACTCTTCCTTTGTGGGCTTCGTGTGTGCCCGTGAATCTCGCTTAATGTTAGTTTCCTAAACTGTACCTACTATATATGGACATAGGCAGCCCCTATATTTCCCCGTGGCACTCGACCCCAACCGTCGCCCCTCTGCGCCGATTGTCTCGAGTGTTTTTGCCCTCAGCTGCCAACAAGGCTCGTTCGCTCAGACTTGAGCTAAGAGACCGGCGTCGGATTACCTGTCAGACGGAACTCGATCCAGTACTCTTGTGTATGTGTGTTTTTGTGTGGCACTCCGGTGACGGCTCTGCATCATGTTTGCTGGTGGTCTTTTGTGTAACAATCTGAGCGTCGTCTTCCTACTTTTTGCCCAATCGACCCCAGCGCTATGAATTCGGCTTGAGGCACGTGCGCAATAAGATACATCAGTGCATAGACATTATGACGCTAACGACGGCGACAATAACGGCTAAGAGGCGGCGTATTCGTTCCGCGGATCAAGAGTGCTGGCAGAACGAATAAAGGAGAAGCTTTTCTCTGGCGACAAGTTTAGCGACGTAGGATTTGGAAAGCATGGCTTGTATTGTTTAGACGATCCAGAGTGGCGAAGAATCACCACAAAAGTTCTGCATTTCTTTGAAGGGAGGCTGGAAGTTAAAGGAGCGTATGTACGACAGCCTCTTCTGATTTCACAATGGCATAACAAAGAACCTGCCGTTTTTCTGGTGCAAAGAAAGGTCTGTAATCGATAAAAAGCAGTGGTACTTTGTCGTGAGTGACTCTGGCACTAGACCGGTTGCTTCGTCGCTGACTGGTGCAAATTTAGTTTCCGTATCAATCGGTTATAAACATATTTGTTATACAGCATTGGTGCTGTTTTCTAGCTTTCTAGGGCACTCCATGGCTGAAGGTGGTACATCGAATACAAGTCCCGTTACACACTGCGCTGTTCTGACAGGATTTCAGTTGAACACTGGCAGCTGTATCGTCTGGCAGGTTTTAGAGGATTTCAGTACTAACGTGTGAATATATAGTTGGTAAAAATGTTCCCCACTATAACTAAAATTAGTAATGAAAACAAGAAAGAGCCGTTATGGTCTATGTGAAAGTCGTGTGGGTGTGTAATGCATAGACCAACCGTGCGCACATCTCGCGATCTCTTCTATGTTTGTTGTTAAATAGTGAAACTTAAAGATGATGTGATATCATTATTTGTCAATGTTCAAGTTATGTGAACTGTGCATAGTTTGCGTGCTAATCGAGTCAAGTCAGCTTGTTGCAATGCTGTAATGCAACATATTGTGTTACGACTAAATAAGTTTCTGTTCGTTCTCTGATAAAGGACACGGTGTCAGACACTTCTTGCGGCCATACGATTTTCGTTTTGAGCTTCTTCAATGTCAGTAGTCTTCTTTGGGTCCGTGTAATTATTTGATTACCTAAGTAAGCTGAAGTCGTCACTAAAACCAGTCGACAACAGATTCAAAACAAAGCTTGTCTTGCAAGAAGGATCCAACGTGCAACTTAGCCGTTACGCGGATGTAATTTTCGAAACCATGAGTTTCGTTAAACCCCGTAGGAACCCCGTTATTGCAGTAAGCACTAACATGACGAATTCAGTTGCAAGATGCTGTGTCCCTCCTGTGGCCTCTTTGTCTTCTGTGTCATCTAGTGGTAACTCAACAAGATTCGCCGTCAACTTGCCTCATCGGACGAGCGGGACAGCCGATATGCCCCACATATCCACCATGCTAGGCGCCCTGTCCTGTTCGGAGGATATGCGACTTTTATCACCGGTGTCATCCACATCGTTATCACACGCTAACGGTGGCAGCGAAAGCCGGGCTGGACACTTAACTTCACTTTCGAATCTGAGCTACCACGCCAGAGATTCACAGGGGAATCATCAGCAGAGTTCCGTGAGTCCTCACCCCGACCACCTCACCTGCGTAAACAATGGAGATGGAGTCTACAATAGTAAAGGCCGAATTAGCGGCCCCGGGGCGAGCGCCAGCATGAGCGATGACAGCAATACTACATGCTGCGGAGCCCATTGTGGAAGTAGCAGGAGTACGTGTGCAATGTACGAAATGAGTGAATCTTCTAACGACTACGAATGTCACCTGTCCAATCCCGAAGCGATTTGCTCGCCTCTGCTCGGCACGTCGAATATATGGAGGTTCGCATATGGGACAAATGTGGGGCTACGATTTCATTTGCTAGTTTTAAGTACCAATTTGAGTACGATTGTTATAGCGAAAAATTGTTTTTATTTTATTTATTTTTTTTTTTTCTTAATATATATAATTCATGGCAAAAATTGAATTACGATGACAGTGGCTTCCATTTCGTGCCCAAAAAAAAATGAACCGTTCTTCATCTAAGGGTAGGATTATTGCCCTAATGGTAATATGAACAAAAAGTACCTTCGTTATTCTTAAATGTTGTTTGAATACGAGATCATTCGAATTCCTACGTTACCTCAATCGGAGAATGCTGGCTCTAGATAACAATACCCCAATAAATAAACATACTTCAACGCACCTAATTATATCACATAGATATACCTGCTGACATTGACAAGAGTGTCGCGTGAACGGGATGTAGTTTCAAGGACTTAACTCGATTCATGTAATGAACAAGTCAAGAATTTCTCTGCTATATCATAAAACAGGTACTCGAATTGTCGTTAAAGTAGTTATGATATAGATAATGGCGACGAATACGACGGTGCCGGCAAGATCCTGTCGCACTTGATCAGGCCAATATCGGTCAGGGGAGTGATAAAATAATATCCAATGCTCAGGTCTGCATCGAGATGTAAGAACAGAAAATCGTTGTTAATGTTTAGCCTCATTTAGTTGTTATTACCGATAACTAAGTTCATTTACACGAATGATGGTGGGCTATAGGAATATTAAGGATCGAAAGGCTTCGACAGAATAGAAAAATACGGTACAAAACGCCGTAATCGGCAAAGGAATATTTGTACTTTACTAGAACAATACTTGAGAACTATATTAACAGAAGGCTTTATTCATCTCATAGTGAACTTCCGATATCGCACGCACTATTTTTTAATTCTTTTCCAATATTTGTAAAATTTTTTTACTCATCAACGAACGCATGATAATCCGTAACTCATCTCTAAGGGGCGATATGATTTTCGTCCAAATTAAATCGCTCAAAAACTAATATTCTTCGCATACACTGTTCATGACAGGTTTGAGTCGTCGGCTGTTTCATCGACGTTTCCAGGCGTCTCGGTCAACCGATACGTAAATGGACCTCCTGTGGATCGATCGAATTGGAAAGAATCGTCACTGACTTCAGCGACAGAATTGAACTCTTCGACTGATCTTTTCCGGTTACCCTTATTAAATCAAGTCAATAAAACGACATTCCATGACAAAATTGCCCCTTTCTCAAGTCGTCTCAGGAGCGAGATGGATTCATCACAACTGTTAGACATTCTAGAGGACGTGGCTCGACGTAGGCGTAGCTCATTGATTAACGGGAATCGTGCTCCCGATCCGATGATTACATGGAAAGGTGTTCTCCAACCGAAGGAGGACGCGACTGGACGTACACTTTCTAGAAAGGTAACACAAGCTTAAGCTCATATAGGTACGCAAAAGTGCGGAAGGCAAACCTGTTAAACTTCGCAGGGAACGCGTAATCGTTAGGTCACACTTCAACATATAAAATGCCCCAGTCAGTCCTTGCTTATCCCAGGTATTTCATTTCAGGCTTTGATTTCATGCAGTAGTTAAATCAGGTCCGAACCAAGGTCCAAGCGTACCGGGTCCAGGGTTTAACGACTGAAAGTCCGACAGTGTTAGACAAATATCGTATTAGCAGTGAAGTCCTGTTTAAATGCATTATTCCTAGACATTTTTAGAAAAAGCAGTTCAGTAACACGAGATGTGCCATTGAATATTATAGGTGATTCATGGAATCGGTGCTGTTGAAAGGCTCCTAAGGTAAACTTATCTACCCAAGTATATATATTTTGTAAATGTCGCGGGTGAGGTGCGATCTACATGCCAATAAATCATTGTTTTGACTTCCGGTGTTTGTACGTTTATGAAAGTTTAATGCGTTTTGATTTCTTTGTACGTAAGTGGCCTATATTCCGTTAAGATGCTGTGGCGCCTGATACCACTGTTTAGTAGAAATAAGCATTGCGCGACGGCTCTGCTATGGAGTGCCAAACTGTTCTACAATTAAACAAGTAACCAACATATTATGGATCCCTATCTACTTACGGAAGGAACCAAGGTGTCCCAAGTAGCAAAAACATATGTTGATTGGTCGAGTCAAATTGCGGTCTAGAGGGAGCCGCATTCAAATACGACTCGTTTTTTTTACGTTATTCGTTCAGAATGCATATTGTATGACGTAATACAGTACGGTACAGCGCCACTACCTTCTTGGTTGGTGCAGCGATTGTCATGTTCCTCTCGTTTGCATGCTTCGTATTACTTTCTCGTTTGTTCTTTCGCAGGTGTTTGTTGGGGGCCTGAGCCGTGATATGGATTCTCGTTGCCTTCTCGAGGCGTTTCAGTCGTTTGGCGTAGAACGAATCGAGTGGTATCCTCGTGCCGAAAAAGGTTTTGCGTACGCGATCTTTCGTCGGGAATCTAGACTACGTATGCTGTTGAACGTGTGCTCCAGGGATGCGCAGGGCCGTTATTACTTTAAGGTATTAGAATGTGGCAGAAAGCGTATCTAAGTGGCAAGACAAATGTTTCAATAGGCCAATAATTAATCAAATGCATGTCACAAATGTGACTTTACCTTCTATTTTATCTTTTACGGTCAAACTCGCTCTATTTATCTTATCATGATTCTCACGGTATATTGTTTGTTGTGCAGGTGGGCACATTGCGCCCCTATCGGGAACGACAGGTTCAGCTGATTCCCTGGTTGGTTGATGATTCTGACCAGACGCAACTGGTGGCTCAGGGGGCTCGGCCAGAAGTCAACGAACAAACAGTATTTGTCGGTGCTCTCCATGGAGAAATGACCGCTAAGGATCTGGCGATCGTAATGCAAAAATGTTTTGGAGTTGTGCTCTCCGTCGGACTTGACACTGATAAGTTTAAGCAAGTTTACATAATACATAAATGTTTATTATTTTTGACACTTTTTCAAAGCAACTTTTTAATAATCGATTAAGGTGGGCTGTAGCTCAGTTTAGTTTGATTGCGGTTGGGATTTCTAATTTTTCTTATTGAAGACGCACCGGTAGATAAAATTACTACGACATTCGTTTAGTTACAAATGTATTGCCCAACCGGGATTCGAAGGTTCCTCTGACTAATATACCTCTAATGTGATGCAACAGATCTATAAGTTTCTCAATTCGGCTCTTCTTCATACACCTACAAATAATCTAAAGTTGATTTTATTTTTTTAAAATCCACAGGTATCCATGCGGCACCGCGCGCGTCACTTTCCAGCACCCGTATTCACAAGTTGCTGCTCTTGTGGCGGGATATATTCGCGTGGAGAGCAATAAGTTTGCAAAGACCCTTCAAATCGATCCATTCCTTCAAGACTTTTTATGCGCAGTGTGCAAACGTGGACCTGGCCCTGTATTCTGTCGCCATTATGACTGCTTTACCTATTTTTGCCCTCCGTAAGTACGGCCTATGAAGTGTTAAAGCAAGCCCTTTGAATAATTAGAGAAACTCGATATGTCTTTTAACTTGATCAAGAATGATAGGAATCTATTATATACGATATGGGGTAAAAAGCTGCCATCCAGCATTTATAACATTTCATAAATAAAAAGAAAAAAAATTCCTTAATGTTGTGGTACATACAATTGCAAATGATTGAAAAACAAAGCTTTACTAACATGGAAACTCACATAAATCTATATCTGGTATCGTTCATTTGATGCTATCATTAGGGTTTTATAGCATGCGAGTTGTACCGTATTGAAATCTATCGACAAACTCTGCTTATTGCAAAGCCTTGATATGCATAGCTTCGAAACAGAGTCATTACGTTAGCATCGTGTTATGATGGTCTAATGGGTTTGCCGAACGTCTGCACTTTCAGATGTTTTTTCCAAATGCACAATGTTCAACTGGACGCAGCTGGTAAACCTGTTATTCCTCAGGGTCACGAGCCATTAACAAAGAATCGCGTAATTAAAAAACGACATGATAACGAGCAGTAAGTAGGTGATGGTCTACACGATGTCGGAATTGGCAATTGGCATTGTATAATATCGAACATGAATTAATGTCGTCGTGGCACTTTACTGTATCGTAATAAGCCTTTGACCATGGCGAACTCCAAGTAGATGTGGCAACTCTAACAGTTATCACTCATTCGGCCTAAATAAAGTTAATTTAACCGACTGACTTGTAAATCAATTGTGTGATTTTCTTTATGAATCACCTTAACCGAAACATGTTAGTTTCGTTCCAGATGCTTAGTTAATAGTTATGGAATAGCATAGGGAACGGTAAGGCAAAAAATGCGTTGCCTCATTCTAGAATGGCATTTACAGTCATTTTGCGCCATAACTGATGGTTTTTGTCTAATCGCCATGGTTGGTTAGTACTTACTGCCAGTCGTCGCCTGCGAGGTCGCTCTCGTCGTCTGACGATCAGGCCTTCAAATTCATAAAAGCGTTCTCACGATGGTGGCAGCAGCAGCAGCATGTATAGCAGTCGGTTCCATAGCTACGGTTCCGTTCCTAGACTCCAACAAATCGCGTTCGTGTAACTCTCTCCTAAGTTAAACCGCTGACAGTATCGCAAAGCGGCAAATGGGGCAAGAGATAGTGATACCAGCTTGAACTCTGAAGCGACCCATGCAACCGGTTCCGCCAGACCACTTTCACCGGTACCCGCTAAACGACGGACAACTGACGAAAACAAGACATCCAACGTAAGGGTACAATCGTGAAGGCCCAAGGCGTGATTGGCCCGTGCACTATGCTCTGGTCAGCTTTTCCTCTGTCACAGCTCTATTTAATCACATGTTTGCAGTTCATCGCTAGAGGTTCTGCTTTGATTCAAGTTGTTGACAAATTGTTTCAACCTCTGTTCTGACCTTTTCCTATAATTCGTTTGATTTTGAAGGAAAAAGAAAAAGAACCACGGGGTCTCCGCGTGTATTAGGTAGCTATTGACCCCATGCACTTACAATGAACGCAGTCAATTGTGGTGATTTATTTGTCTTTATTCCTATGGTAATTACCGAAGGTTTAGTCACGTTGAGATGTGGCCAGTGAATGGGCAGATGGACATGGGCCTGTCTGCGTGTTAATTGTCGCATAAAAGATTCCTGTATATGGATTCGCGGTGCGTAATAACAATTTCGAATTCTGAGCTTGGCCTCTACGTGTCAGAGCCGCACGTTTTGTAACTTGCTAGGTGATCGAGGTTTTTGAAGGTAGGCAGAGGTGAATGGGAATTATTCAATTTAGCATTCAGTATACAGGCGTCACTGAAACGAAAAGTAAGGCAAATCATAGACACAGGCAAGCCAATAAGAATCATGCATGGGAGCTTCATGGTTGAGCTTGTAAGCAGGAAGGATCATAAGGGTTTTATTTGAAATATTCTTGCGCTCAAAGGCAAAATTAAAATGCAAGTCAAATTCCAGGGGTCGGATTTCGATATTTTAACAAAATTCTCGTCGGAAAGTCTTGTTACGATCGGTTCAAGTGTTTTAAAATATTTATCTTCGTCACATTTAGTGATTTTTTCTCATTTACTTGAGAAAAAATTGAGCGGATAATGAAGAACTCTGCATCGAAGTGTTAGCATGAATCTTCTTTTTTAAATTTAGCTTAAAACAAACAGCAAATAATTATAAAACACGAAAGCACAAACATTTCTATTACGTAGTTGTTTTTTTCTATTATTTATTAGTAAAATAGTAAAAAGGGGCTTATTAAATATCATGCCTAAATTGAATGAGTGAAGTTAGAATTTTCTTTTGAATATAAACTTATTTGCAGACTACATGGGTATGTGCTTCACTTTTGCCGATTCGATTGTTTATACATAGATTCTGTTATGAATAAGTATGTTGACGATAGCCGAATTAACATAAGTTTCGAAATATATAGAACAATGGATTTAAGGGAAGAAGTGCACACCAGTCTAGCTATTTCCGCAACAGAATAAAAATATTGTATTTATTTAAGCTACCATAAAAAATATGCTTTTCAATTTGACCATACTTTTTTGTGGTGTATACTACATATGAGGATTGAACCACGTTTCTCATCCAAGGATTCAATGGTCCATAAGAAACCGTCCGACCATAGAGTTTATAATACACGCTCAGAAAATATGCAGTCAATCTCAATGAAGCTAATTATCGCTGGTAGTATGAATAGATAAACCTAAAGGTCCAAAGAACACGTAGCGTTCGCAAGCACTATATAATCGACCTTTTATATACAGAGCGACTCGACTAAAACTAATTTGAACGGACGGTAGACTAAGGAGTCCGTCATAGATGCCCCCAGCATTTCTAGATACCCACAGAGAATTGGCAGAATTGGAAAGGTCTGCTTAGAATCTTTGCCAGTGTGAACGGCTCGTCTCATAAAGCGTCTCTTCTAACGGTTGATAGGAGTTCTAACTGGGCAGTAAATTTGATGGAAATTATTAATAAAAATTATTGCAGCTAAAGAAAAACTCTAATAATTTACTCGGGTAATCTGGAATAATTAAACGTAGCTATGATAATAGGACAAATATCTGAAATCAAGAGTGCGTTTCAGAGTGTTTGCTTTCAGTTTTCGCCAAAGAGCCAACGGAGACTCTTTCGACGGTCGGTTTTGGGAGAGTTCGTGCTTTAATAGTTACCATCATGGATTGAAATGAAGTAACAGTTAATAAATTGGAAAGAATGTCTTAAATACTTATGAGCAAAGAGTCTATCTTGCATATGTGCTCTTTTTACAATTAGCGTGCTATCTTCGATCATTTTTATTAGCAACCTTTGACTTTTTTTTGTTAGTGATCGGATACATCAAAACCCCTAACTATAGATCGCTCAATTTATCGAGATACCACAGGTATTTGACTCACTCTTATTGAAATATTTACCTGATTATTTTTAATACTCAAATAGAATCCATTGACTTTTCATTTACTGTATAGATACAAGACAGACTTTAGCACCCGAATTTCCTGGATATGAAATTGAAGGTCGATTACTAATTGGTTGTTGACATAATATTTGTTCAAAGATGGCGTGCTGATGACATTGCGGACTTAACATGCGTCGGAGCAATGTTTAGATTAGGTTCCTTTACCAGCTAGCATAGAGTTATCCTATTATTTATAGAAAACTATTGAACAATCTTCAATTTATACCATTTCAGTAAGTAGGAAGATAGCTGAAAATCTCAAAAACAAAGTCAATGACACAGAATGGATAGAACTTGAGAAAAATATATTTTCAGTTAGATAAAAAAAAGCTTCTTTATTGCAATCGATATATTTTTGCGCCATTTATACATTTGTATGAAATGAAATATATTCATTGGAAGAGCCAGTGCAAGTCTCAAAGGGTGATTTAACATTTGCTATATAAAATGAAATATAAAATCTTAACAGTTAGAACTGTTACAGCTACATAAGTAGCGGTAAAAAGTTGGCCGAAAAACGTCTAGCCAACTTAAGAAGCTAGTAGCGATGTATATTGCACATAGCTATCTTTAAAAAGTAAGATTAAACAAAAAAACCTTTCGAAAACAATCTTCAGCGACCAGATATTCTATAGATAATGTTTTATGAACGACACTTTTAAATCGAACCTCAAGATAACACAATACAAATAATAAAGTTTGACATATCTTTTGGCCAGTAAACTTGAATGAAAATATAAACTCACAACAACATAACAACTTAAAACAAACTTAAATACGGTATCATTAAATAAAACTTGTTTAATCTCGGATATATCTAAGAGTCTCTTATATAGATATGACTTCAAGATAGTTACTATTGTTTAATCATATTCTAACTCTCATGCATTAATACCGTTTCAATTGTGTCAAAAAGGACAAGCGCAAGGCATTTGGGAAGGTGCATTTCATGAGAGTGTAGATCGAATAGACGTGAAAGAGAGTTGCTAGGTCACTAGCGTAGGGCTAATAATTACGTATTGAAGTATGTATCTATTAACACAGTAAGCTCTATTTAGCTGTTTTTACCTGTGCAGTAGACGTTTGTATATTAGAGAGAATCAACGCATCTATATATAGGTCGTCGAATTCCTAAATCGTAGATTCTAGCTTAGTTTGTAGAACTATGCTATGAAGTTTATAAAATTTTGCAAGTTACCCAAACCGGCACTTACACAAAGTGAATACTTCGTACCCTCTCGGCATATTCGGTGTAATCCTTACCATGGATAGTGGCCTGCTCCAGGCGCTGCAAAGCCTGCGACTGCAAGCAATAAAGTGTGAAACGCAACCTAAGCGAAACGCAAAGCTAAGGCTTATTATTACGAAAATCGACATACTAAAAAGGTAATAATATGTAAAATATGAATAATACCGAGTTTTAAATACACAGTTTATATTATATTAAGTATATTGCAAAGAGTCGTGTAGTGCTTGTGTGATTAATATAATTATTATATCATTATAGAAAATAACAGAAATATTAGCAATACTTAAAATAAGGAAATCTATACAGTATTACGAATTGCAATTAATATGACTCATTGCTGACTCACTATCTCATAACCGAGAGCTTCAATGTACTACTTATGTTGTTACTATCACATATTGTTTGTACCATCAGCCTGCTATTCTGTATAAGTACTACTGGTCATTTATACCCCCAATAGGTTAATACGACTTCATTTTGAAAAATCGTTATAAAGTAACAATACAAGCATTTCCGACATAGCGTGACGTCCGTAGGTAAACTGATATCTGTTTTATGGAACAAGACGAACAAATCATTTCAGTTTGGGTAATTTCAGAAAGTAAAGTGTTTCACTGTAGTCTTCACTGCAGCCCAATACATTTAGCGCCATGCAGCCATTTAAATACAGCCGCTTTCGTATACCTATGTAGCACCATGGGCGAACTAACATATGGATTTAAAAAAAATTTGTCTTAGCAGATTGAGTCGCAATTGTCGTCAGATGCACCGAAGACTACAGTCCCGGAAACTTTTCTACAATTCCAGTCTGGTTTTATGAAGTTCTGTTGGTCAGAACAGCAAGCAACTGCTGTTGGCAAATCCGCAAAGACTAGAAAGCTTTATAGCTCAAACAACAGCACACAATAACTATGTCAAACTTACCAGCTGAAACTTTAGATAATTGCCAAGTGCGCAATTTTAACTGCACCAAACGCTCTAGGTGTTGTTATATTTATCTATTTTTATCGTTATATTTATTTATCTTTTAATCAGATCTACCACAACCACACAAGATCAATAGAAACCCAACATTCTTTATTTAATCACAGATATTGTACTGCTCGGATATATACTACCGTCTCGTAGGTCTTTTACTGGAAGTCAGTGAATATGAACAGTAGCTTCTACTAGCACCCTAATAGCCGAAGCTTCCTCCTTTTTGCACTAAGCAAGTGAGATTTTGTTCGGTACTGGACACTTCACCGTAGAATCTTATTATACAACGTACAGAGTAATAGGTGCTATTTAGCTCATAAGAAATTACTTCTTAGATTACGTTGTTCATTTTTCCATAAACAAAGATCGCTTGAATTGACGCCTCTGTTCGCTGGTTGACGTTACGGTAACCCACAGCTATTGCGAAAAGTAATCACTTGGAATTGTTTAGCTAAACTTCATTACAATGTTCGAAGTTGGCTGTTTCGTCACAGCAAAGCGTTTCGCGATGCTTCGACGTTTCTTTACACAGACCGACAAAGAAGGCGCCGCTCTAAGCGGGTGTAAATTTTTTCGCTCTCCGAATAATTTATGTTAATATAATAGTGATAAATAAATTATGCCCCCGTCGTATTGTTTTTTTTTGTCGCCATCTATAATTTTCTGAGGAGGCGGGCTACGACCGTGGGTATTGTGTCCGGACACTGACCCGTTATAGTCGGTACTTCTCCCATTATTGGTGACAAGCTCAGATAATCTACGAGGAATAAAGGGTCGATAGCTTTATGGTCTAAAGCATTAGCCGAAACGCTACATTTGCAGCAGTTATTGCCAATTTACTATGGCCAACATACATTTCTCTGCTATTCCCCTTTAGCCTTTTTTGTCAGACGCTGCCGACTGTGGTTGCCACAATTGAAACGCTCTCTCGAACGACCACATTCGGGCAACTACTGAATTTGTCGTGGTGGAGATCGCCATTGAAAAAAACATGCGCAATAGATAAAATACAGCTGGTCGCGGGTGTCGGCATTACATAGAAACATAATGCATTAAGAAAATGATATGGTTCTTGTGTATAACAATTTAAAAGACAGATTTTCTATAAAGTTATCATTCGACAGCGTTCAAACATTTCAAGTGAACGTTTCAGCTGCATTTTCGTTACTGAGGTGAATTTAGCGGTGAAATTCTATGAAAAGCCTATCGATTTGCACTACCTATTGGTAGACGCCTACTTAAACTTATTTATTTATATGTTGTAGGTAATAAAAGAACTAGTTTGTGATTGGTTTAGTTTTATGCAAGGTAGCTATTCATAGATATATATTCTATATCATAATATTTAAGGATCTGCGCGACTGATTTTGCGTAATGCATTTATCCAATTATTTAAGTTACAAAGGTATTTGGTGGATAGATCTCTTAGAATGTAAAGCGACTTGCTTCGCGCATAAAGCTAGCACGGCGTCCTAGTTTTTTACCCAAAATTATTGCAATCAGGTGGGCAAATGCTTCAACAACTTTGCTATGGTGCGTACATTTTTTTATTCTTTTCCAGATTTACAAAGTACATAGGTTATTATTTTTAATAATAATGCATTTACTTTCAGAATTCTAAGATAAATTGGTTTGTAACTCAACTTTGCTAAACCCTGGGCTACAAAACTTGATTTCTTCTGATTTCCTGTAAAATATAGGTATGCAATTAAATCTCGTTTGTATTTAAAGTAAATTAATTTTTACCGCTGTTGTCGTCCGGAAACAGACTTTGTTATGTACTTTCTTATTACTAATAAAAAATTGGTGACTGCTGCCAAGGAAATACTCTTAGATGGCTAAGTTGTTGGTAGAAACACATGGAAGCGTGATTCTGAGTATCCAGCAGGAGCGACCTGCATTTGGCAATAGTCAACTATCCTAGTTATTATCACCGACTCTTATGTAAACAATTATTTCGTAAGTGTGCCCTGAACGATGAGCCTGTTCTGTAAACCGTAAACGTGAAACACAAAAGCGACAACAAATATGACTATAGACTCGTACAACATTTAAATAGAAGCTATTAGGGCAATCGCTATCGATAATTTATTAATTGCATAATGTTGGAAATTAGGACTTTACAGTGAGGAGAGGTTTGGAGAAAATATTTTTTATAAAACAGAAAAACTGCGTATGATACTAATGATTAATACGAGGTACATGTAGTGTCAGTTTTGATTCATTGTCTCGCCATTCTAATCTCTGGTTTGTATATGGAGTCCAGTTTATCGTCAGAAGACTTTTATCTCTAGGGGCCCGGTGAGGACGCAAGGCGTGAGTGTAATTTACAGAATAACTCTGCAATGACATATATAACACTTGGTCATAAATAGAAAAAAAAAAATATTAAAAATGTGTAAGAGTAAGAAAACACGGACGTTGTCACCGAGCTTTTCAAACGTTTCAACGACAGAAAGAACCTTCAGACTTCAATGAAAATATTTTTATAAAAATATCTTCTATAGTAAAAGTTAACATGATACGTAGAGTAACTAGCTAGTTCCCATGATATTCATTTTTAGATTCGATAACGTCTATATTTTTTGTCGATGATTTTGACACCGGTTAGCTGTAAGTGCGTCCGTCTAATAGTAGAACGACAGCCTCCTCTTTTATCAGACGCACACGACTAACCAGTCTTCTAACTAAAAAATTTAGAGTGCTTCACTTTTAAATTAGCAGCTAGATGCGAAATGATACGAAATGGTTGGACAACTTTGAAACGAAATAATATCTTTAAATAGGCACCGACAGCAAATCTGGGTTGTTGAGTAACTCTCTTCAAAATGGGTTTGTTGAAGTACTCGGTACCGCTACGCTACGCTCTCTTCACATACTATTACACATAAAACACCACGCTAAGTCATTCTCCCGTGTACCTGGTGGATATACATTAACAAAATTAGCTCTCTTATGCAACATAAAGCATGTTGAAAAGTTCACGCATCCTTACTTGGTTTGATGGCGTACGCGAAGTTGTTACCTGGTACATATTGAATATTTCTGTGGATTGTGTTCCAACGTACCCCAATAATGTTTTACATTTCGGTAGTTATGTATCGTCACGTCAATAAGCTTTCAAGAGTGGTAGTTTGAGCACTGAAAGCAGAACATTTATAAAATAGTAAATTTGCTTAGATATTCTACGATTGCATCGTTTTCGTAATCTACTTCGTAAACCTTGATTAATGGATATACCTTTTTGACCCAGCGACGATATACAAGATAGCGTGTCTGAATTGCGATATCCCTTATCTATAAAGAAAGCTGCATTTGGATAAAAATTTAGATTTTTTTTATATATCGGAAGTGTGTTTTTTGTGTATGTTAAAGGTATCATCCCTGATGATCATATTTTGTTCAAGATAAGCATCATCCGTGCTTACAGCTCCAGTTCGGGACCTAAACCACCAACTAGCTATTTTCAAAATATTCTGTAATTAACTTTAGCCGTGCACCAAAATCAATACTGGTAAGCAAATAAATCTAACACAATTAAATTTCGAATCGATAAATAAAAGTAATTCAAAACAGCCGATAGCATGAAAGGATACAGCTTTAAAAAAAAGAACTGACCGTTAAAAGTTAGTGGCAATTGACATTTTCCATTCCAAAACGGCTCTTTAGTTTTAAATAAAAAATCAAGTATATAAAACGCGATTGTGACTAATAGATTAAATTCCACAGTAGCTAATCTTTGCTTAAAACAACGCATAGTTGTTCGCCGTAATGATTTTTGTTCAAAAAATTACCCATCAAAGCTTTCGCCAATTTAAATAGACCGTCCTGCATGGTAGTTTGTAGAAAAACCTTTAGGACATATTTATATAGTCATCTTAATTAACGCGGAGCTGTTAAATATGCTGCAGCCCTAGAAATATGGCACAACAGCAAAGGAGGAGAAACAGTTTGTTCTATCAACGGTACCAGCCGGCAGCGTTTTGAAAATAACGTTACGATAGTGTATTCGAAAGCAACTTCTCTTTAGATTGCGTCATGAATATGATAATTACAAAATAATACCCATTTCTAAATAACTAGACTATTGTGCATCTAAAATAGACGTGTCTCAGTGTTTACGCTGCCAGTAAAAGATCTATATATATACATATATATACACACAGCGGTACATAGCAATCTTATGACAAACGTTCGTAAGTGGGTAGATATAGAATTTCGATAGTTATTCTTCGAGTTCTATCATTAGAAAACGTAAAGCGATTTAGCAACCAAATAGTTTACTTTAGAGATAAACATTTTTATTAGGATATAGCTTAATAGATTGACTTTGGTTTGCCATCTTATTTTATAGGATGCCTGAACATATGTGGAAATGGGTAGTCTTACATAATTTGATCAAATTATATATGACAGGAAAAATCCTGTGTCTGATCACTATCACATAGTAAAAGCCTTCAAATATTTTAAGAAAAACCAAATAAAAAAAATTCAGTTGCAACTCCACTTGAGGCATGTAGCAAGATAATATCGTCAGTACCGTAATAAGAAGCTAACAAATAACGTTAATCACATGGGATCATCTAAAAAAATCACCAAAAGCTAAATTTCACATGTGGGAAAACGTTAAAACACTATTTCAAGTGCTACGTTAATAGTAATATTTGCCAGGTTTAGTTTTCTATGGTGAAATGTACGATCTCATCAACAAAGTGCAGCTGATCTGCCTAACTGCGATTCGTACTTTTTTTAATTCTTCTAAAATATAATCGCCCAAAGCCCAGAACAATCCCTAGTTATCAAATATCTACCCCATAAAAGAAAAGTCAAATAATCATAAAGGAGGCTACAATCTATATCGTAATCATAGACAAAAGATTACTTATATTACATTAAATTAATCAACAGTTAACGTAATGTTGCCTTGAAAAATATAAAAATTTAATTTAAAAATAGAGTTTCGGTATTTTTATTTTTCATACAAAAAAGACCATATAAAAGTATAGTAGTTTTCTTTTTTGGTCAGCCTATGATATATTGAAAATTGCGAATTTATAGAGACATTGCTATTTCTAAACGGTCAATTTAAACGTTGGGACCTAAGGACACTTGGGAAACCCTTGCTAAATAACATTCTTATGGCCGACTCTCGTCCTGGAGCCCCTTACAACCCTCGGCGCTTTTTAAACTCGACTACGAAGGCAGTAAGATGCGCACACTGGGCTACGTGGTCACGCAATCTCTACATAACCAGACTTTTACGGGAAGCTTTTCAACTATCTTAACTATCAAAACTCAAACTATAAAAAGTCTCTAATTTGAAAAGCTATAGATTCTTTCATAAATAGTGAATACCAGCGTTTTTACACTCAAGTGAGAGGCCCGTTAAAAATAAATCCGAACTCAATTTTACGCAATTCGTCATTCATCACCACGAACGTCTACACGTTCAGCTTGCACAGTTAACGTGCAGTATGCATTTGACGGCGTCCTCTATTATATCTGCTTTCCCTCAACGTGGTAGTTGCTAGACGACGCTTGTTGGCCAAACGTTCATATCGCTCGAGGAAGCCAACTGACAGGCCACCTCTGCGCAGTTAAGGTTGAGCCTGAGTTTTTCGGGAGACGCCTGCAAAAAGGTAAGTTTACCCTTCTGTGCATAGTTCAGGGAGAGATATTTATTGGTTGTTTTCGAAGGTAACCATTGGCTAGTCTCCATATTCACGAACCGCTGGTAGCATTAATGATGCACTAAAGAACCTCGGTAATGGACGAGTATATGTATATGAATTCGCCATCTTCCACCGCTTCTACAGACAATTACTGTGCTCACTAGTATTTCAATATGTGGCTGATACATTGTTGATGCAATCTTTCAAGCACCGTTTGGTGCAAGGCAGATTGGATGATCTCCTCTAGTCTCATGCCGGTAATTTAGTTTATTTAAACCTTATGCGACAGTCGATCGACACGTGGCGCATGTGTATGTCTGTACGTATACCGCGAATGACATGACAGGTTTCAAATATTGTGAGACATATAAGGATAGTTTATATGAGCCATGAGCTTACGCAATGGTATAAGCGCTAGTTGACTTGTTGCGAAAGTCATTCAACCTATTGGTTCGCTTGCTTCTTCATGTAAAAACCGTTCAAGATGAGGGAGATAATCAACGTTCACATAGGCCAAGCTGGCGTTCAAATGGGGGCCTCCTGTTGGGAACTGTATTGCCTCGAGCATAACATCCATTCAGATGGTACACTCAACGAGGGCGGTGAGCAAAATCCCAAAGATTCAAGCTTTGATACGTTCTTCTCAGCCACTGGCGGAGGACGATATGTACCACGAGCAGTCTTTGTCGACCTTGAGCCGACAGTGATAGACGAGGTCAGGACTGGACGATACAAGTAAGGGAGGATTCGCTTTGTTTATCCTTTCGATTTAATTATTTTATGCGTGTGTATGCTATTAGGATTATGTACCTATTTGTGTCAAAAGATATCCCATTGAATTATTTGAGTGATGGACAAGCCACGTTTAGCATTATTAACTGCAACTCTTAGCATTCAAATAAAATAACTATGACATGTGAAACTGCACTGCTATATATATATATATATATATATATATATATATATATATATGATAATACATGATTTGTCGTCTGAAAGTCTAATTGCGGCATGAATGAAGCTGTTATTTCGTTTTCTATCTTATTTATCTTACTTCATAGGAATCTGTTCCACCCTGAGATGCTGATCACTGGCAAGGAAGATGCGGCCAACAACTACGCAAGGGGCCATTACACAATTGGCAAAGAAGTCGTTCAGCCGACATTGGATAGGATCCATAAGATGGCTGATCAGTGCGATGGTCTTCAAGGCTTCCTAATCTTTCACTCATTCGGCGGCGGAACCGGTTCCGGTTTTACGTCCCTTCTTATGGAGAACATCGCACAGGACTTCGGTAAAAAGTGCCGATTGGGCTTCGCCATCTACCCGGCTCCGCAGGTTTCCACTGCCGTTGTCGAACCATACAACTCGGTTTTGACGACACATGCCACCCTCGAACACGCTGACTGCGTATTCATGATGGATAATGAGGCGATCTATCAGATCTGTCGTCGGAATCTTGGAGTTGAACGACCGGCGTATCAAAATCTCAATCGACTGATTAGCCAGGCCGTTTCGGCGATAACCGCTTCTCTACGTTTTTCCGGAGCGTTGAATGTTGACCTCAACGAATTTCAGACGAATCTCGTCCCCTACCCGCGAATCCATTTCCCGCTCGTCACTTATGCTCCGATTATTTCGGCTGAGAAGGCTCATCACGAGCAACATAACGTACTGGAAATCACAAATGCTTGCTTTGAGCCAGCCAATCAGCTGGTTGTTTGTGACCCCCGAAATGGCAAATACATGGCATGCTGCCTTTTGTACCGTGGTGATGTTGTGCCGAAAGATGTGAACGCAACAATTGCCGCCATCAAACAGAAGCGGACGATACAGTTCGTCGAATGGTGTCCGACCGGCTTTAAGGTTGGCATCAATTATCAGCCGCCATCAGTGATTCCTGCAGGCGATCTAGCTAAGGTACCTCGTGCTGTTACCATGTTGTCAAATACGACTGCCATTGCCGAAGCATGGATTCGCTTGAACCACAAATATGACCTAATGTACCAAAAGAGGGCGTTCGTTCATTGGTACGTTGGAGAAGGCATGGAAGAAGGTGAATTTTCCGAAGCTCGTGAGGATCTAGCAGCATTAGAAAGAGACTACGAAGAAGTCGGTGCTGACTCAAACGACCCAGGGGACGACGAGGAAGGAGAATTCTAGGACAATTTTTACATGTGAAAAAAGCCAATCGAGGGCAGTATATCGGATAGTATATAGATATAGTTTTTAATAGATATATAGATATAGTTTTTATTGATAATAAAATATTGTAACCCGTACGACAGGCAGCCCTCTTAAATTTTGCAACTTACTTTTTCCTTAGTTATATAGTTGGCTGTGATACACGTAGGGCAGGTTTGGGGCGCCGTATTTGAGACTCCACATTAGAGTACGTCTAATATAAGATAGCCATTAATTCTATTCATTATAAAATGGTTAGACCAAGCGGGTATGGCCACTCCACCTGTGTGGCAGCGAAGCACGTTTGTAAAAATAAAAGTCTGTAGAAGGTGTTCTTATTTTTAGCATAGATATGTTTCGGACATGCTATTCTAACTATAGTGTTTTCCTCGTTGAACCAAGGCAACACGTAAAGATAGCAAAAAATAGTTAATCTTGATCTAATCAAATTTGACAGTTTTAGAAGTAACGTTCCGTTCAGATATATTTAGCTATTTTTTTTTAAACGTATATTTGCTATATGGTAGCATTCATTTTACACTAATATGTAATAGGAAGTAAGCAGAATGATTTATCTTAGAAGAAGTCCAAGTCCTGGATCGCCATTCAACATCTGTAGACGAACATGTAACGTTCGGTAAGAAATATTTGTCTTGGGTGTCTCCCTTTAAATATGTATTTATAAGGCAAGGAATCAACTTAAAAATTGACACAACCAAACATTACTTAATTTAAATAATTGATGTAAATACACAAGACGTGCTTTCGATTGCTTTTGTTTAGAAAAATTGGGTTGTGTTTTAAATTTTCAGGGTTCAATGAAGTGTTTTACATTTATTGGGTCGAATTTTTTGTCTAGGTTATTCAACTGCTTGTCTTTTTCGCTTAGAATCGGAGTTAAACATTGCATCGAAGGCCTGCTTAGGTTACAAAGCCTAGCTGGGGTGCATCTTGCTGGATTCATCTGCGGTGTTTCCAACAAAATTTACGAAATCGAGTGGTAAGCATATGCCGTAGTGTCTACTGGCAGCGTTTAGACCATGACGAATTTACGAAATTAAAGATGACGAAATTAAAATGGTATTTGAAATTTAAATAAAAGCTCTTGTTCTTGCCTTAGATTGCCACGAAAGGTTTCGTTATTTCGTAATGCATTTTGTCCAGATGTCGTTAAGGGCACAGAGTTTAACTTGTAGTTAACGGGAAAGCAACAGTAATTTCTTTTGAAAGCAGTAGTCGTGCTAGGCATTTCAATTCTTCCTTCATCCAGTTAACTTCAGTCATGGTACTATGTTTTTTCATTTTGGATGCCCTACCACATTTGCATCATTTAAATTCTTCATAAGTTTAGCGCTAATGGATACAGCAACGCGTTCTGCAACATATTCAATCGCCAATGCTGTGTCGTAAGAAGTACAATGAATTGCTTACGCCGAACTGAGTCCTTTAGAAGGAACAATTTTATGCGAAGTGTCGTCGAAAAAAGCACTTCCTCACTCCCCTTAGGTCCAACGTCGAGCAATAGCTATCGGTGGAAAGGTAGCCGCATTTCTGCAAGAAGACTCTTAAACGCCATTGGCAAATATGAACTTGTGAACGATAATAGCTAAACGTACTACAAATATAAAAGCTGACGTTCCAACGTTCTGAATGTGTCTCTCTAAAAAGTACTTCCATAGTCCTGTGAATAAGCTTGCCCATAGAACCTGTCCACTTTGAGCTTTTAACTGTCCCTTCGAAAAGCATTCCTTTCGTAAGGTTCTGTTTCGACAGCCATCACCCCCGTCCTCTACTATACTTTTTCGGCGTGATAGCACGGGTCCCTTTTCAATAAGGGGTGCTATTTTCAAAAAGCTGCCTGTGCTGATAAATATGATGGCGACGATCTTCCTCGGGATGTCCTCGAGATGACGGGAGGTCTGGTTGTATAAACCTATTGGCGTACCTGAAATTGGATCGTTCGTTACTTAGTTTTGGACACAATGAAAACCTGATGAGATCATTTCTTTATCATCACTTTAGATTGTGCAATTTAAAGTTAAACCCACTAAGGTAGCAGATAACGGCCGCACGATAAGAATATCCTGTCGTACAACCGCCGCCAAATTGTAACCGACCAAGTATCTTGACATAAAATGACGAGTAAATTTACAGCTTAATAGGTGCCATCTTGCTAAACCGTATCACTAACGTAGTCAATTCTCGCTTTTTAGCTTTCTCGACTGGTAAGCACTAGCAAAATAACCTAGTTCGAATAAAGTTACTGTTCTATTCTCTTTTAATGAAATATCCTATCATCCGTTCGATTCGATCCGAACGATTTTTTTGCTTACATCCGCATTAACGCAAGCCATCGTTAGCAACGGTTGGTATTTTAACAATGCATGTATGTTAGTAATTTTTAGAATGTACAATGATTGTCTATCGTGCGCTTAACGTATGATAGAGTTGTTAGCAGCGCAAGGCTCCGCATGACGTGAGGGCTCACGGAATGGCAGATTCATAAGCGTTACCGTCGATGTGATCGCAGACTACGAATGACAGTAACAAAAAAAAACAACGATGTTTGCACAAATAGAGATATTATGTTATGTAGTAATCAGCGGTTTGCTCTTAGAGTTAGTTAGCCAGACAAGCGTTCTCTTTTGAGGTTAGCTAAAGGGTCACGATTTGTTGTCAAGAATCGAGCTTATTAAGTAATTAGGAAATTGGCTCTGTTGTAGCCTTAGAAACAATTACTTTGTTTAGTAATAGGAGGCTAATTTCAATATAACCTATCATCTATTATGGGGTAATATGGAGCGGGAACATTTCCTCCTGAGAGGTTCTTTTATGAAAGGACAGAAATTATAATAAAATTATTATGGAAAAGTTCAGTTTAATGACGATTCCTTTTCGCGTTTGATTTCTCTTAGTGATGCTATCATCTAGTTGTTTTCCAACTGTGATTACCAATCATTGATACACTTGAGTGTCATTACTCCATAAACAGACACATTGCCACTATGTTTAAGGTAAAATAGACAGGTGCCATGCAACCATTTGCCTGCTTTTGTGTTTTAGCTGTTGAGACAATTCTATTTGCCTGCTTCTGTCATTTGTCGTGTACCTCTTTTCATAGTCTATTCTATTGTATAGTATGGTATACTCAATTTTGCACAAAATATTGGTTAACAAACTCAACCGTCTCACACGATACAGTATGCGACTGTATCAGGGGAATATACCGTAAAGGAAAATCGTGCTAGTGTGTTTCCTAATTGATTTCTGGTGACTGGCCTTGAATATTATGACTTTCCTTAATCTTTCGAGTCGTTCTTCGTTAGACTTCCCGCTAGGTGTTTTCTTTGCGAAGATCTCGCTACTCGCTCAAATGTATATGTACATATTTAAATATATTCACAAAGCTATTATTAATGACGCAACTGCAGCTGCGATCAACATTATCGAAAATGGACAGGAATTATTTCGAATTCGCAGCGCAGAGTTGAAATATATATATAGAGCAGACTTATCTGTGTTACACACAGTATCAGCGGGGGCATCCCGATTTTTACACTGCTGTGTTGTCATGTCATAGCGTTAGCATATGTCCCGAATACAAGAGTTGTAGCAATAAGTATTGTGGTCGCTCGTTTACTGGCCAATATGACAGTACCACGATTCAAACTTTACAATATAAATATTTGAATTGATAACAAATATTTGGCAAAAAGGCAATAGAATATTGTTAATTAGTTGCTCAGTTATATGTTAACATATACCACTATAACGTTATTGCGACACACGCAGTATATTTGTAGCATATATTATAGCAGTGATTAGGATAGTATTAGGGTGTTACTGTTACGGACGTATTGCGAAGTCACATCTGCGCTTGACTGTAATAATCTACATATTATTATTATTTATTATACGTATTATATATTAAAAATTTAACGGACGTAAAGTGAGGACTCTTGAATTACCAAAAGGCTTTCAATCGACTTCTGCACACTCCTAATGGCTGTCGAATTGCAACTTTCTTCCATTAATCCGTTGGTCACTATCATTATCGATACTATTATTTTTATTATTAGGGTAAATAGAATAGTTAAAACTTGTAAGCGTAAATCTTCCTATTTAAACAAAGTACGACTATTTACTTTTTTTTTATGACTTTTCCACGAGTAATTTACATGAAATGTTCCGCTCCTTATCGATGAGTGTGCAATAGCGTAACCAGAAAGAGTTATTAAAAAATCCTTTAATCTGTCTAGAAATGGCTGCCTTTTCATGCTCGGGCTCACACAGCGTATGTCTATGAATGTAAACCTAGCGTGTCAAGCAGCTGTGTATCGAACGAACGAACATCATCAGCACGTTCGTGACACCTACGATGATACTAACTGTTATTATTTCTATAGGAGCTATTAAAACGTCTGCTTCGACCGATCATCATGATAATATTATACTTTCAATGGAAACGATTGTGACATAACAATGCCAAGATGTATAGATAGATCTCGATTGAACTCACCTTTATTCATTGGCAAAACGTACTTACTAATAGACTAGAGCCACGCTCAGAATTACATCAGACGCTTTAACGCGTAACAAATGCAATCTAATTAAATATAGGCTATTTTGATAGCATTTTTATAGGAACACCAGAAATCCTATCATTATGGAACTTTTATGGTTTGCGGGCACAAATAATACATGCGGTCTTACATTGTCATGGTAGAAAAATGACGCCTTTGCTATAACCAGTTACGGTCAATTTTTTTGATAGTGGAGGTCCGCATCAGTTGTTTTACCAGATGGTACCGATTTATAAAGCACGATTTATCATTTAAGACATCATACTGAGCTCAATCCAGCTCCGATCTCCATGGTGGCCTCTTCAACTTTCACATGGAGTGAAGGATCGACTATTTTTATGAGAAGCATTCAACAAAGTCATCCGGGATGGGTCCCGACGCTTGAATGAGCCAGAACACTGAGGTCGTAACTTTCAACATTTACCCGCTTGGTAATGTTTTAACCATTTAATAAGTCTTAAGCAAAGAATATTTCGAATGTGTTGACCATGTGATACTGTTTCTTCGATGAACCGCTTGCTTTACACTTGAATTAATACCCGCTTGGACCGAGCGTCTACAAGGGCCCCGGGGTACGAAAGAAACTTCGCATTGCTTTGGTAAAACATTTTCGATTGTTTGATTAATGGGTGCGTTTCAGCATTGAGTGATCGGGCCGATAGACATCTTCCATGGGTAATGGTATCACACATATACTAAATACCCTTCTTAGCTCTGCACACTATTGAACGTTTGGCATCGAACGGTTATTGGTTGGCTGTATGAAATGTACACAAGTGCAAGCGACTGAAGCACACAAGCTCGAGACACAGGAGATCCAATCTGCCAAGATGCGCAACAGCCAAACCTAAAACTTTAGAAAACCATCTTCCTAGAAAGAGTCTCTATTAAGTTAGTCAACGAAGATAACTGCTCGTTACCAGGAATACTTGCGTCCTCTTTTTGTTGATGCTAGGCATTACCTATCGCTCACAGGGTCCTGAATTCAACATAGCACGAAATACGATTTCAAGAATATTTTTAAATCACGTTTTATTTTTTAGCCCGTATTTCTCGAGTGGATTGCTTACGACGAGTAAGACATTGTTGAAAGGCCGAGGTTCTGAACTGCTCCATAATGGCCCGTTCCTTAATTAAAAGTGCATATTGAGACCGAGTGGCTTGTTGAAGTTAAGACTTCGATCCTTCACTTACCCACTAACGAACAATAATTAAATGCTACTTAATCGTAGATTATGCCCGAAAGAGATGAGTATAATATCAACCAAAGATTGAAGTTGATATAAATCATTGTCTGTTTATACCGATGTCATCTACCCCACTTGCTGCAGAAATCTCGTAGTGTTTTTTTGATTCGGAGGGTTGTTCAAAATTTCACACTGGATACGTTTGACACCATCGCTTGAGTAAACGTAATCAGCAAAGAGTGAATGCTGTCTACCGTTACTCTAACCAAAACGACGTTAGCGAACGCATTCAAAGGCAAC